TAATTAGTAAAATTTTTTTAAAAGTAAAAATTTTGATGTTTCAATCTTGTTAACATGAATTTTTGAAAAATAAGTTTTTTGCGACATGCAGTGGGGTTTTTGTTTGTAAATTTTTGTTTGTGGCCCGGGGTTTTTTTCACGATGAGAGATTCTTTTTAAACCTGTTTTTTCATTTTTGCAACATGCTTAAAATTAATGGAAATTTTTTGAAAATTTTTTTGTAAAGGTGGGTGTGTGGGGGATTTGGGTTGTGGGTGTGTAAAGGGATATATATAAAAAAATAATCCCCTTTTTAAATTTTATTGAGGGCCTTTTTTCATGGGTTCCCGAAAGTTATGTAAAACTTTAAAATAAAATGATTGAAATTTTTTTAAAAATTTATAATTAAGGTCCCGTACCCCTGATACCGGGGTTTGGGGGTTCATGCAAATTTTTTTGAAGTTAATTTTTGTCTGTAAAGGGAAACAACATATCTAGACAGTTTTTGTGACGTAGTCCATTTTTCTGAAGTTTTATAAGGGGGTATTTTAACAGATAAGCGTGTTTATTTTGGGTTTTTAAGCTGTATTCCCTTTTTTTTTTTATTTTTAAAAATTGGGATACGTTCAGCTGTATTGTTAGGGGGTAAGTATGTTTGATTATCTAGCGATTTGGGTGTTTTTGGTTTTGGGTTTTTTTATTAAAAAGTGAAGGGTTGGGGTTTAACTTTATATAAATTCCCTTTGGGATATTTTTTTGTTCCAAAATGTTTTTGAACCTTTTTCAGATGGGCATTTTTTGTACAATTTATTATATTTCAAGGTTGGTATATATGTCAATTCCTGAAAACCCGTGAAATGAATTTTGTTTTTTTTTAAATTATGTTCTTTTATATAAGTTTTTTTTTGTAAAAATTTTTGCGAGCATGTAAGTAAAAATCCGTTTTTCATTTAATTTTTATTTTGTTCTAACGGGTTTTTTTATTTTTATGTTTTAAAATGTATTGGGGTTTTAAATAAAATATAAAAAAAAAAAAAAGTTCAATGCCCACAGATTCACCCCTCCTGCGAAAACCGGGGGCCATTTCTTTTTAATGATTAGCTCCCTCTGGGAAACATAAGGGGGTGCAAACACGTCCCACTCTACCTCATCCAGGCAGCGAATGCACAACACCCCCGTACACGCTGTCAGGTTACTGGGAGGCGTCAGGCAAGGGGGCTTCACGGCCCCAAAAGCGATGCAGACCCAAAAATTAAAACCGCATCAACAAGTTATTGTTCCTCCTGCTTTCATTAACGGCAGCTCGTTTTTTTATTTTACACAGAAAAAAATACATTTCTATATTTTCCCCCCCCTCATCTGATACGGGTATTTTGGGTTTTGGGGTCTCTTCTCTACCACCCGCCCACTGACTTTCTTGGGGTTTAAGATACAAGCAGCATATGTGTAAAAAACCTTGGGGTATCCAAAATGTCACTTTTAACTCCCAAACTACATAGAAAACAATCTTTAAAAGTTATAGCATTAAAATTTAAAGAAAAAAAATTTAAATGTTCTTTTAAACCCAAAAATTTAAAGATTTCGACTTAATGATTTAATTTAATTAGAAATAAATTAAAAGGGATGAGAAATAATACATTAGTTACCCTAATAAACGTCAGGGTTTTCTATGTAAATTTTCTTCAGATATTTGAAAGAAAATGTATTTACTATAACTTTAAAAAAAATTTTAACATTTAAAAAAATTTTTTGTTTTTTAAAAAAATTGTTTTTGTTTAAAAACGTACATATAAATACAGTAACATAAATTTTAATAATTACAAATATTAATTGATTCATCAATCATTATTAACCATAACTTAAATTGAGTTTATAATAACATATTTGTTTCTTATCTTAGACACGTAGAAACATATATACAATTTATTTTAATTCCTACTAAGAGTTCGCTATGGAAGATGCTTAAAACTTAACGTTACACTTAAGTGAATATTTTTTTAAGGTTAGAAATCTAACCTATATAATTTTTACTTGTATATTTCTTCAATGGGTGGTTCTTGATTTCTTAACATATTGCTTGACTTTGGTCAAGGGCTCTTGATCTGTGCTCCGGTTCCCTGATTTGAGACCGAATACCTTCACCCCCTCCACATGCGCTGTGCCGCGAGTTCAAGCCCCACCCGTAACTTGGTTTGTTTCAGTCATGTCATTATAATTCCGTGGGGGATTTCAACTTAAGGCACCTAAAATGGGGGAATATAGCAAATAATATTGTTGCAGAAATAACACCAGGAGGCAGCTCTGATGAAAACTCACACTCACACGAGCTTTTAAATCTCTGCACAAAATTCAATTTAAACCAGCAAATAATAGAGCCTACTAGACTGGAGAATACACTAGACCTCATCTTCACTAACAATGATGATCTGATAAGAAATGTCACCATATCAAAAACAATATACTCAGATCACAACATAATTGAGGTTCAGACATGTATGCGTGGAGCCCCAGACCGACATAATGAGACTAGTCACGAGGGAGCATTAAACCAAATTCAACTTAAATAACAAAAACATAAAGTGGGACCAAGTAAACCAAGTCCTAACCGATATAAGCTGGGAAAGATATACTAAGCAACACAGACCCCAACTTATGCCTAAACAGATTAACTCGGGGGCACTCGATGTATGCACAAGGCTTATTCCTCTAAAAAAAAAGGAGGAGTAGATGTAAAATAGAAAGAGACAGGCGCTCCCTTTACAGGCAAACGGAAAATAACAGAGCGGCCTAAAAGGGGTCAATATATCTGAAATGCGTAGGAAGACACTGTCAGAGAAATAGCAAGCATCAAACTTAAGCAAAGGAATCTTATAGGAGTCAGGAATCGCGGAAGAACTAAAAGCCATAAATAAAAATCGAAAGAAAACCCAAGTATTTCTTCTCCTATGCCAATCAAAGTCGAGAACAACGTCCAGAATTGGGCCCCTACTATAAACAAGATGGTCCTACACAGATGACAGCAAGAAATGAGTGAGCTACTCAAGCCCCCAATAGACTCAGTTTTTAGCAAGCCGCTAACCAACTGAGAGTCGAAGATCAAAATTAATTTTTTATGAGAGAGCCACAGAATTTGGTTAACACAAGCCTATCTGTGTTATCCTGACGCCAAATGACTTCGAACAGCGATTTAAATGACATGCCCATGCACTCCTGCCCCAGGGCCAGACTCATGGAACTCCGTGTTCCCTCAAGAACTGCAAGAAGCCCCTATCACGAGCTTTTACCACCTATGGAGAGGGAGCATGGAACACGGGGTCGTCCCACAGATACTAAAAACAACAGACATAGCCCCACTCCACAAAGGGGCAGTAAAGCAATAGCAAAGAACTGCAGACCGAAAGCACTAACATCCCATATCATAAAAAAATTTGAAAGGGTCCAAAAAAGCAAGATCACCACCCATTTAGAAACCCATAAATTAAAACAACCCAGAGCAACATGGGTTTAGAACAGGTCGCTCCTGTCTGTCTCAACTATTGGATCACTACGACAAGGTCCTAGATGCACTAGAAGACAAAAAGAATGCAGATGTAATATAAAACAGACTTTGCAAAAGCCTTCGCAAGTGTGACCATGGCGAAACAGCGCACAAAATGCTTGCTAAAGGAATAACAGGAAAAAATCGGTCGATGGGGTCTATAATTTCCTCACTAACCAAAACACAGAGAGTAGTAGTCAACAGAGTAAAAATCCGAGGCAGCTACGGTGAAAAGCTCTGTTCCACAAGGCACAGTACTCGCTCCCATCTTGTTCCTCATCCTCATATCTGACATAGACAAGGATGTCAGCCACAGCACCGTGTCTTCCTTGCAGATGACACCCGAATCTGCATGACAGTGTCTTCCATTGCAGACACTGCAAGGCTCCAGGCGGACATCAACCAAATCTTTCAGTGGGCTGCAGAAAACAATATGAAGTTCAACGATGAGAAATTTTCAATTACCATTTGTATGGTAAACACGAGGAAATTAAATCTTCTTCAGAGTACAAAACAAATTCTGGCCATAAAATAGAGCGAAACACCAACGTCAAAGACCTGGGAGTGATCATGTCAGAGGATCTCGCCTTCAAGGACCATAACATTGTATCAATCGCATCTGCTAGAAAAATGACAGGATGGATAATGAGAACCTTCAAAACTAGGGATGCCAAGCCCATGATGACACTCTTCAGGCCACTTGTTTTATCTAGGCTGGAATATTGCTGCACACTAACAGCACCTTTCAAGGCAGGTGAAATTGCTGACCTAGAAAATGTACAGAGAACCTTCACGGCGCGCATAACGGAGATAAAACACCTCAATTACTGGGAGTGCTTGAGGTTCCTGAACCTGTATTCCCTGGAATGCAGGCGGGAGAAATACATGATTATATACACCTGGAAAATCCTAGAGGGACTAGTACCGAACTTGCACACGAAAATCACTCACTACGAAAGCAAAAGACTTGGCAGACGATGCAACATCCCCCCAATGAAAAGCAGGGGTGTCACTAGCACGTTAAGAGACCATACAGTAAGTGTCAGGGGCCCGAGACTGTTCAACTGCCTCCCAGCACACATAAGTGGGATTACCAACAGACCCCTGGCAGTCTTCAAGCTGGCACTGGACAAGCACCTAAAGTCGGTTCCTGACCAGCCGGGCTGTGGCTCGTACGTTGGTTTGCGTGCAGCCAGCAGTAACAGCCTGGTTGATCAGGCTCTGATCCACCAGGAGGCCTGGTCACAGACCGGGCCGCGGGGGCGTTGACCCCCGGAACTCTCTCCAGGTAAACTCCAGGTACCTCATGGATGGTTTTCTTTGCTTAACAATATTCCATTACAAGTAAACTATACTCTGTATACTCCGCAGAAAAAAAAAATTAGATTTGATCTGATTATCATACCTAGAAACACATTTATAAATTACTTAAGATAACCCCAAAAAAAGTAATTTGTTCCCAATGGAGTCCTTGTGTTGACAGGTACACTGTGCTGGTTCGGCTGCATCATGCTATTGGAGATGGAGTGTCTTTGATGAGGCTGTGGATGGAGGTAATGGTTGAGCCCTTGCTGTCTCTCCCTCCTGTGGGAAGCCACTCCACCAGCCCCCTCGTCAGGTGAGTCTCTCCTTCCTCTTCTGTTGTACTCGGGTCAGTAAACACATCCACTGCATAGTCTGTGGTAATTTCTAGTGCCTTACCTACCTGGGGTATGTACCTGGGGGTATTCCGGGGGTCAACGCCCCCGTGGCCAGGTCTTTGTCTGTGAGTATACAATTGCCTCTGGCATGCATAGTACAGTTACGTGATAAAGGTGCTGACGATTCCCAATAAATTTATCTTTCTCCATATTCCTTCCCTTCAATCTGATGTCCAAACTTTTCCTTCCTTAGACTTCCTTTTCTCTCTCGTAACCTTTATTTTCTGGTCCCTCCCAATATCTTTGAGTGGGTTATTGAAGCTTCTCTGTTTTGATCGACACCATGCCTAACCCTTCTAGGGTAGGGTAGGTGCCTGAGCCAGAGCTTACAGCTCACATGACTGTCATTCCCATTAGCCCCCTTGGGGCTGGGATGGCAGACCAGAGAGGCCTAGTTTCTAGGCCTGGGGACAGTTGGTCCCAAAGATGAGGAGGTACTTGTACCTCCTCCCATGGGAGACTTTGGCCTCAGACACTCCCTAAAGAGGGAGCCAAGGAGAATACCTGCGAATCTTTAATAATAAATAATAATTCTCTGTTTACCCTGACGCAGAGGAACAATGATGTTGTGGTCAGCCATGGTGCTGCCTCTGGGACTACTACAGCTGGTGGCTAATTTTGACAACAATGTTCTTCACGGTCCTCCTCTTTCTGGTACTAAGGTGAGCAGCCCTCTACTCCTCTCTAACGTAGCGATATTAACCAGGTAAAAAAAACACTCAGAAGGTTCCTTGATGTTGGTGAAGGGGCTCTTGATCTAAGGAACTAGACCAATGCTCCAATTCCTTATTACGCACACTATACCCATCTTATGGGCTGTAGTCAAAGGATCACAGAGGTACATAATGGGTCCAGGGACTGGACCATCCAGATAGACGTGTTTATAGTGTAAGAAGACACTATTACCGTACGAGTTATCTATACAGTGTCTGGGGAATAGGAACTAATTGACTAGAAGATCAAAATCCCTCGCCAGCAAAGGTATGCTGCTAATAAACACACTTCCATTTAATATTCACTTCTCTTCCAGCTACATAATAAACTCCAGATACTGGAATAACTCACCTAGATACGTATCTGTGTGTATTCTTCTCTTGTTGTATATATACCGGACGGGGAAGAGCTCCAGCTCTTGGGTCCTGCCTTATAGCCTTATAACTAATCCTTTGTATGAAATATGTACTTGTAGAAATAAAGGTTATTTTTATTATTATTATTATTATTATTATTATTATTATTATTATTATTATTATTATTATTATTATTATTATTATTATTATTATTATTATTTGCTTCCTCTTCCTTACTGTCTTCAGGCTGAGGAAGTCAGTATCACTTGATGCTTTTGTGTCCAATCTCTCAGCCCCTTCATAAAATTAAATTTAGCCTCAGCGAGGATAATGTTTACTAAATATTTATGGTTTAGAGTAGTCCTTGGTCGTGTGTTGTGATTATGATCGCCTGGGTCAGCCATGTATTAACTGAACAATGTACTGAGTGATTCGTCTACCTTTTTGTCGCAGGTAATGACTGCCTCCGCTGGTCTGCCACTGGCAGTGCTGAAGCAGGTGAAGGTGGCAGCCTGTGCCACTGTCAATGATGTCCTCATGTCCTGCCTTGCTGCTGCCCTCACCAAGCATTTTACCCGCAGGTATGAAACACAGGGTTCATCATGAGATATGGTGGGGACTCGACCCTCTGTCCCCTGAATATTCGCTAAACTCTGACCAATTTAACTGATAGTAAGTTTACGTGTGATATCAAACCTAGTTAGTTATCTTTTCCGTACCTATCACCAGGACATAACTCTTCACCTCCCTGTCTGCAGGTTGCAGGAGGTGCCACAAGTAACAGTCGCGGTACCTGTAAGCTTTCATGATTTCAAGGAAGCTCCAGCTCTCATCAACCGGTTCTCGGTTGCCACCATCAAGCTTCCTACACTTCACACCTTTACACCCACTGCCAGGCTGGCAGCCACTAAGGTACGTGGGCATGTGGTACAATCACGTTCATTCGCTGCCTGACCACGGTAGTGTGTGGTTGTGCTCTGCACCCCTCTGCTGTTTGCAGGCGAGCTCCCTTGTCAGTTACCTGGCTGCAGTGGTGTGAAATGGTGCTGTTACGCCTCTGCTAACAACATAGGTGCACTGTGATTGTCAAGATGGCGGTTAGTCTGAGACGCCGGATAAGTACTGTAGGCATTGAGCTACTTAAAGGAACGATAACGCCTAGTTCTGCGCAAGTCTTATTGCCAAAGATCATCCGGGAGTCATATGGCATACAAGATAGTGACTTGTATGGTGTAGCATTAAATGGAGGCCAAAGAATTTTCGTCAAACTGCTATCAGCTACAGTTTATGAATCGTTAGTCACCAGATTTCAGGACGTAAGTCAGTGTAAGAATGATAGATGTTTCACGGCATTATACGTGGATCAAGTTACGCAACATTCCCTTTGAGGCGGACGAGGCGGATATAAGGAAAGTTTTTGAGACGTATGGGACGTTGCATTATGCTCAACATGGTACGTGGGCGGCAGGAGCCTATGCTGGTTTTCCAGAGGGTTCTTTCAACCTCAAAATGACTTTGAGGCACCCCATACCGTTCTATGTGTATGTACAAGATTTCAGGACGCAAGTAATGGTAATGTACCCAGGACAACGACGTACGTGCCGCCTATGTGGTGAGTATGATCACATGTTGCAGAGGGTGAGGGGTGTGGTATCTGTGGAGGGGATGAGACCGCGTTCCATGTAGTTTACTTTTGTGAAGGGCTAGAGGAGGTTAGGTGCTGGTTAAGTAGGTTGGTACAGAGGGTGGGGGGCCATGGGTTGTCGGTTTTGCGTGCTTTAAGTCTAGATATGGGTGGGTTAGACGAGGGTGTCATAAGAGCTTTAGATGATATCATGGTAGATTATATATATATATATGTCGTGGGTGATGAGGGGGAGAGGGGATAGTGAGGAGAGAAGAAAGGTTCTTGCGGTAACGTTCTATCGTACGATGTGTCGTAACAGAGATTTGTATGGGAGGAGGTGGGATCAGGCTTTCTCAGAGGGGTATAGAATGCTAACGTTAGGGATTCTCGTAAATCTGTGATTGATAATGAGTGAGTGAAGGGGTTTTCATAGGTTGGAGGGAGTCAGGGGGTAACAGCAGGCTCGCCTCCTTTGGGGGGGGGTCGTGAGAGTGTTGTGAATGTGGGTTTGAAATGGTTTCCTGGTTTTCATTGAGACTTTATGGCATCCAAGTGTGGAAGTAGAGCTCAAGGTCTCGTTACCTGGAGTTTACCTGGAGAGAGTTCCGGGGGTCAACGCCCCCGCGGCCCGGTCTGTGACCAGGCCTCCTGGTGGATCAGAGCCTGATCAACCAGGCTGTTGCTGCTGGCTGCACGCAAACCAACGTACGAGCCACAGCTCGGCTGGTCAGGAACCGACTTTAGGTGCTTGTCCAGTGCCAGCTTGAAGACTGCCAGGGGTCTGTTGGTAATCCCCCTTATGTATGCTGGGAGGCAGTTGAACAGTCTCGGGCCCCTGACACTTATTGTATGGTCTCTTAACGTGCTAGTGACACCCCTGCTTTTCATTGGGGGGATGTTGCATCGTCTGCCAAGTCTTTTGCTTTCGTAGTGAGTGATTTTCGTGTGCAAGTTCGGTACTAGTCCCTCTAGGATTTTCCAGGTGAATATAATCATGTATATCTCCCGCCTGCGTTCCAGGGAATACAGGTTTAGGAACCTCAAGCGATTTCACCTGCCTTGAAAGGTGCTCTTAGTGTGCAGCAATATTCCAGCCTAGATAGAACAAGTGACCTGAAGAGTGTCATCATGGGCTTGGCCTCCCTAGTTTTGAAGGTTCTCATTATCCATCCTGTCATTTTTCTAGCAGATGCGATTGATACAATGTTATGGTCCTTGAAGGTGAGATCCTCTGACATGATCACTCCCAGGTCTTTGACGTTGGTGTTTCGCTCTATTTTGTGGCCAGAATTTGTTTTGTACTCTGATGAAGATTTAATTTCCTCATGTTTACCATATCTGAGTAATTGAAATTTCTCATCGTTGAACTTCATATTGTTTTCTGCAGCCCACTGAAAGATTTGGTTGATGTCCGCCTGGAGCCTTGCAGTGTCTGCAATGGAAGACACTGTCATGCAGATTCGGGTGTCATCTGCAAAGGAAGACACGGTGCTGTGGCTGACATCCTTGTCTATGTCAGATATGAGGATGAGGAACAAGATGGGAGCGAGTACTGTGCCTTGTGGAACAGAGCTTTTCACCGTAGCTGCCTCGGACTTTACTCTGTTGACGACTACTCTGTGTTCTGTTAGTGAGGAAATTATAGATCCATCGACCGACTTTTCCTGTTATTCCTTTAGCACGCATTTTGTGCGCTATTACGCCATGGTCACACTTGTCGAAGGCTTTTGCAAAGTCTGTATATATTATATCTGCATTCTTTTTGTCTTCTAGTGCATTTAGGACCTTGTCGTAGTGATCCAATAGTTGAGACAGACAGGAGCGACCTGTTCTAAACCCATGTTGCCCTGGGTTGTGTAACTGATGGGTTTCTAGATGGGTGGTGATCTTGCTTCTTAGGACCCTTTCAAAGATTTTTATGGTCTGTAGTTCTTTGCTGTTGCTTTACTGCCCCCTTTTTGGAGTGGGGCTATGTCTGTTGTTTTTAGTAACTGTGGGACGACCCCTGTGTCCATGCTCCCTCTCCATAGGATGGAAAAGGCTCGTGATAGGGGCTTCTTGCAGTTCTTGATGAACACAGAGTTCCATGAGTCTGGCCCTGGGGCAGAGTGCATGGGCATGTCAATTCACGACCCTATGACAGTAATTTTTATTTAGCTAATGTTCTTGCCGTAAGGTCTTATTGTATGTTTGGCAGCAATATCTTGCGAGCATGTAGACGGCAGTGAAGGGACTTGAGCTAGAGTTCGTCACGGCCACGCTAGCTGGAGATTCGTCTGTAAAAACTTGCATTTGTGGTCACAGTGGTGCCTGTGCTAACCTTCCTATGGTGTAGAAATATACCTAGTTGGATGAATCTTGTGGCTAGCTGGTCCAGTGGCTAACACGACGGGCTGGAGTTTTGAGACTCTATGGCCGCGGGTTCTATCCCGGCCGGGGGTATGGTTTGCAATCCGTTTGTCAGTTAATTTGATTGAGATCCATATTGTTTCTTTATTTTTATGTTAAACTGTATTGGTTTTAAATAAAATATACCTTTGTACGTGGATTTTTTTTTATATCAGAGTATGGAGAGTGTGTTACCAACACCAAATTTTATATATTACAATAAACACTTCACATATTTATCTAAATTAAGTTAAATAATATATACGAGAATATTGTATATTTCTTTTTCAGAGAGGTTTGCGGCTCTGAATAAGTCAAAATAGTGAAGGTATAACCCGTAGCTTGATTGCTAGCATACTCAGGTCACACACTGAGGTCCATGGTTCGAGCCCCAGTACAGGTGGAAACATTAGGACGTGTTTCCTTAAGACACCTGCTGTCCATGTTCACTCATCAGTAAAATAGGTACCAGAGTGTTAGTGGACTGGTGTGGGTCGCATCATAAGGACAAAATTGACCTGATTTGCCAGAAATGCTCTGCGTAACAAGGAGCTTTCTATATAGTATATGTCATTGATGTCAGCTATAGTCTGTATACCTTGTACGTATACAAGGACCCAATGGAAATAAATAATAAAAACATAAGAAAGAAGGAACACTGCAACAGGCCTACTGACCCATGCGGAGCAGGCCCATGTCCCCCCCCCGGATTAGACCAATGACCCACCCCCCGGATTATCCCTATGACCCACCCAGTCTGTTCATCCCCACTCAAGGATGGAGCACTGTACCAGACCCAGCAGCACATGCTAGTCAGGTCAACTCACACCCACCTAAACCCACTCATGTATTTATCTAACCTATTTTTAAAACTATACAACGTTTTAGCCTCAATGCACTTTGACTTCTTTTTGGTTATCCTAGGTAATTTACACTATATATGATAAATGTACTTAAGTGTACGTGTACCAAAATAAGCTTACTGACTTTGTTTCCACTGGCGTCGTTGGTGTCACCCTGACAGAGGGTGTTGGACGAGATGAAGCGAGACCCAGCACTGGGATCTGTGATGTGGCTGGTGAGGATGGTGAGCGGTGTGCTTCCAGCATCCCTGGCTCAGCGTATCATCTCTGGTGCTGGAGTCACTGCTGCTGCTAGCAACGTGCCAGGTTAGTCGCCCCTCTAGCACTACTGTGATGCAATAAGATCACACTAAACAGGTGATATCACAATATGCAGGGCAACCATTGTGAAAAGAATAGTGAACTTCCAAGAGTTTTTGTGATTTCTGATATCCAAGAACTGAGAATGTGTGAAATCACAGTGGTTGTTCTGGACAAGTAGGCTCTCTCTCCCTCAAGAAGCAAAATGCAAGTTACTAAGACTTGTACAAATGAACGTTTATCACAAGAGGTTCATACACAGAGATGAAAAGTCTATGAGTTACATTTTAAAAGACTAACATGAATGTGTACAGTACTGCAGTAAATGAAAGCAAAGTGGAAAATCTGAAGGCGACGCAGATCATATAAAACTTAAGTACCTGGACTTGATTCGTGGAGTTTCTTATTTGAGGTTTTCGTGAAAAAGATGTGCGTAATGTTATGTATTGAATGTTAAAAAATATTCCTAATTCTTTCCCATTGTTTCTCCTGCCTGTCCATATCTTTGTGTTCACTCCCTCGGTAACCTCGTGCAATTTACCCCGTCAGGTCCCCAACAGGAGATATCTATCTGGGGACACAAGGTGGAGGATATGCTCTTCTGGGTGCCCAACCGAGCTCCTGTAGGAGTCAGCGTGTCCTTCGCCAGTTACATGGGAGAGGTTAAAGTGGGACTCAATGTAGATGTCGCCCTGATCCATTCACGTCAGGAGGTAAGTCTACGATCTCTGATCTGTACTCTGTCACAGCTCTTACTTTTTTGCCTGGTTCATTCTTGCCCCTCACGCTCTTGTATGCTTCCACCCTTATTTTTAATTTCGTTTTGGGCTCTGTCAGTGGGATATATTTTAGACAGACTTAGCACACTTCTGCTTTCTTTTCCATACAATGTTCCGGATTAATCTCAAGACGAATGTCCATGGAATGTTTTCATTATCTCTTTTCATTGTATCTATATTATCTCCATCATTTCTCTTCCATTTTCGACCCTTTATTGTTGCTCAGTTGATGCAGGTTAAAGACAATCTATTATTAATTTATTTATTTATTTTCCTGTGGGTGTTGCTGCCATTGTTGTTGTTGTTATGATCATAATTTATATTAACTAATGTTTAGTGTTCTATGACTGTTAGTATTTTGTTTTATCTGTTTTTTTTATAGTATCAACAAGAGTCTTGGATATATTTCAATGGCTCTAATATTTTATTTTTATTTTTTCTCTTTGACACAGGCCCAGATGCTGCTGAGAGACATGGAGGACGAACTCCAGCTCCTGTACCGACAACTGGTGGTGGCCAGGAAGTGAAACTCTCCCCAAACACACTTGCTTTTACCATATGTAAAACCTCGCCCTTCCAGCTCCTTTTCTTGTCCTCCCAATACCTTTTTTTTTTTTTTTTGCCCCCCATGAGATGCTTGATCCCAGCTTCCAGCAGCCAAACTTCGCGTGAAGTTCGGCTCTGTTTGGTATTTGATAACGATGAGTCTAGTGATTAGTGGCCCAGTCTTACGAAAGTGTTATCCAGGCAGCTGAATACATTGTTGATAAATGGTTCAGAGAACCACATGAGTCAGACACTTATGCAACGCTTGGGTATCTTTACTGTAGACTTCAGTCCGGTCCAGAGAAAGATGGAAGATGAGGGGGAGTTTGGGTTATCAGTCCCTCTGGAATGGAGTCGGATGTTTGATCCATCAGTCTCGCAATACATACCATCCCTGGATAGTTAGGATTAAAGTAGACATAATCTTAAAAGAGCTATTGACAGCATAAGGCAAAAGACGGGATAAGATATTTATAATCCACCTTACCTGCTGTTGATGTCACATAGCAAATGTTTGAGCTGTGACATGGTATGCTTCTTATCTCTGGAAAAAAAGATACTTATGAAAGAGAATGGATTTTTTTGCGAAACTTATACCCTCCAGGTATAAGTTTTCTTTGTTGGCTCTACCTCCTTTCTCCTCTTAATGGCCGGGTTGTGCGCTTTTCAGCGCCATCTGTTTACCAATGTTCGTAGTTTTGATGTTCATCCTGAGCCTTTTCCTTCTCTTGGTTTCAATTTTGAATTCATTGGTGATCTGGGCGAGCGAGGTTCAACACATCACCTATAAAGGTTCTCCTGATGTTTGAGTATCCTGACCTGTTGACGGAGGATATATACACATGGGAAAGGAGGTGCGTATCTGTGAATATACACAGATTATTTTATTCCCTATTTTAGTAATTAAAAATGTTCTTGACTGGTGTATAAGTGACTTGCAGTCTTAATGACCCTCGTGTAGGAGTGTGTTAAGACCCATTGAAATAGCACTCTCATAACCACGAGTTTCTTGCCCTGTGTAATCTTGCTTGTTTGTTTCTATATTGTTTACCTGGAGAGAGTTCCGGGGGTCAACGCCCCCGCGGCCCGGTCTGTGACCAGGCCTCCTGGTGGATCAGAGCCTGATCAACCAGGCTGTTACTGTTGGCTGCACGCAAACCAACGTACGAGCCACAGCCCGGCTGATCAGGAACCGACTTTAGGTGCTTGTCCAGTGCCAGCTTGAAGACTGCCAGGGGTCTGTTGGTAATCCCCCTTATGTATGCTGTGAGGCAGTTGAACAGTCTCGGGCCCCTGACACTTTATGGTCTCTTAACGTGCTAGTGACACCCCTGCTTTTCATTGGGGGGATGTTGCATCGTCTGCCAAGTCTTTTGCTTTCGTAGTGAGTGATTTTCGTGTGCAAGTTCGGTACTTGTCCCTCTAGGATTTTCCAGGTGTATATAATCGTGTATCTCTCCCGCCTGCGTTCCAGGGAATACAGGTTTAGGAACCTCAAGCGCTCCCAGTAATTGAGGTGTTTTATCTCCGTTATGCGCGCCGTGAAGGTTCTCTGTACATTTTCTAGGTCAGCAATTTCACCTGCCTTGAAAGATGCTGTTAGTGTGCAGCAATATTCCAGCCTAGATAGAACAAGTGACCTGAAGAGTGTCATCATGGGCTTCGCCTCCCTAGTTTTGAAGGTTCTCATTATCCATCCTGTCATTTTTCTAGCAGATGCGATTGATACAATGTTATGGTCCTTGAAGGTGAGATCCTCCGACATGATCACTCCCAGGTCTTTGACGTTGGTGTTTCGCTCTATTTTGTGGCCAGAATTTGTTTTGTACTCTGATGAAGATTTAATTTCCTCGTGTTTACCATATATGAGTAATTGAAATTTCTCATCGTTGAACTTCATATTGTTTTCTGCAGCCCACTGAAAGATTTGGTTGATGTCCGCCTGGAGCCTTGCAGTGTCTGCAATGGAAGACACTGTCATGCAGATTCGGGTGTCATCTGCAAAGGAAGACACGGTGCTGTGGCTGACATCCTTGTCTATGTCGGATATGAGGATGAGGAACAAGATGTTGTATGTTATTGCGTATAGTGTTGCTAGCATTGACTTTTGGGTGTTGAGAAACTGCGTTTTACACACTCCTTGTGGCTCCTTAATGGGGCAAATAGTTATGTTCCTCTGGTAACGTTATGTTTGCCTGTCTTAAACTCTGTCAGTGTTGTGGTCCTGTGTGTAGGAGTTAATTGGATTCAAGAAGGCAGTGACAGTGGCTTCGCCAAGGGGAGGGGGAATTGCTTCGGGGGCTTAAGCCCCCTAGTCCCAAAGCCCCCTAAATAATAAAAATGCTGTTTCAAGTGTCATAGCCCCTCCCTTCCAACCAAATAGCTACCCTTAAGCCCCCCTAAAAAAATTGGGACAGCGCCCCTGCAGTGACTTACGCAGTTTAGGTTCACTAGTCTGGTGGCTGTCATCTCGGCCTCCTCAACATTAGAACACCTAGTTGATGTCCGGAGTAAAATTAGTGTATGAGCTTAGAGGAGGGGAGGCAGTGGGCAAAATGGAACTGAACCAGCTGGGATGGTGAGTTCAAGGTGAATGTGCAATATATATACTGAAAGAAGGAAGGTACCGACAAATTAGTGAAGAGCATGCATATCTCTCCTGTATAAAGGTAAAAGAAATAAACGAAAGTATAAGAATTATACGGCAATAAGCCTGTTGAGTATACCAGGTAAAGTGTAGTTATTGAAATAACTGTGGGTGACAGTAGGATTGCAGAGGAACAAGATTTTAGGATGGGTAGAGGATGTGAAGACCAGGTGTTTATACTGAAACACACAAGTCAACAATACTTAAAGATAGGGGGCATTTTCATTTGTGAATTTATAAGTCGTATGATAAGGTAGACAGAGAAGCAATGTGGCAGATGCTTGTAATAAGTTGTAGTTTACTTAAAGCAGTAAGGAGTTTTCATGTAGGTTGAGAGACGCAGGTTACATAATGTAGGAGGGAGATTATTTCCCAGTAAAAGTAAGCCTTGGACAGGGATATGTGATGTCACCATGGTTTAACATATTTATAGATGTAAGAGAATGGTGTTGGGGAGAGATGCGAGACTACAATATAAAGAATCTAATACACAGTGGAAATTGTCAGTTGCTTTATGCTGATGACACTGTGCTTTTGGGAGATTCTGAAGAGAAATTGTAAAAGTTGGTGAAAGGAGAAAAAGTGAACGTTGAAAAGAGCAAGGTGATGAGAATATAAAAAATCTAGGCAATGAATAATTGGAGACTGGAGAAAATAAATGCTTTCAGATATATGGAAGTGGCGTTGTTGTGGATGCGTCTATGAAGGATGAAGTAAACTATAGAACAGAACAGGGAAAAGTGGGTGATACACTGGGGCATCTGTGGAGACAACTTTATCTATGGAGAAAGTACCAGTGTAGTAGTAACACTGGTATATGGGTGTGAAGCATGAGTTGTGAATGTTGTAGCAAGGAAGAGGCTGGAGGTGATGGAGATGTCTGAGGGCAATGTTTGGTGTGAATATTATGCAGAGAATTAGGAGAATTTACATTAGACAAGGGTGTGGGGCTACCAAAAAGTTGATTCCATGTAGTCCAGCCCAAGCTGGGTAGTAATGACATCCAGAGGTACTTGTAGTCCAGCCCAAACTGGGTAGTAGTGACCTCGAAGGTTCTGCTGGTTTTGGTACATACTCCGTAGACATATGCCTGTCCTCGCATTACAAAATGGTTGAAAAGCTATCAGACTGTCAATCCCTTTCAGTCTTTAGTCAACTAAGTTTAAATGAAGATTTCTCCGAATTATCCTTAAATTACTAGTCCTGCAGAAAGGTGTCTTCTCCCTCTGTGGAAGCATTTTCACTTGCCGGTTCATTTGTTTTACCATCTGAAGCACTCTAAAGGGGAGGTTCCTTGATGCCGGTGAGAGGGCTCTTGATCTAAGGAATCTCTCCTGTTCAGTTCACTGAATGAAGTCTGATTTCCTTTCATTCCCATCCTCGAAGGCACTGCGTTACCCCTGCGGTTTTAGCATCGCCTTGAAAGTCATTTCCAGTGTGAATCCACAAGAGTTCATTACCTTTGTACCTTGTTCAGCTATCAAAACTTCGGGGTCCAGTCCCTGGACCCATTATGTACCTCTGTAATCCTTTGACTACCGCCCACAGGATGGGTGCGAGGTGCATTATTATATTATAATCATGGGGGAGCGTTAAACAGGTATGGGGTGCATAATATATTTAACAAGAGGTGTAGAGAGACTCCATTGTGCGTGAGTCTTGTGTTAGAACACTTCCCTCTTTGGTTAATGCGTAATGTTATGATTTATATATTGCAGAAGGTTAGGTTAGGTCAGGAAACAGGTCATCATCTGACGAAAGTCAGATGATGACCCGCCTTTGGAGCATTTGGTCATCTGACAGAGGCCTTCCGCTGGCTTACCCCTCCACCCCTTTAAAAATTATGGTCACGTAGAACCATTTTTGTAGTTGTATATATTTCAGAAGAGGAGCTGTAGGGATCTGTGTGTTACTGAGATAGAAAACGATGGAATTAGGCGAATGTTGGTGCGAGTCATGAAGCCATGACCAGAGGGGGGGAAGCCTTGGGACGATGGTAATGGTGGGAGTTGTGGGTTATTTGTTCTCCTGGCAACCCCAACCCCCCTCTCCTCCCACTGTGACCTTCACCACCCACCCACCCACGGATGCTTCTGCCGCCCAGTCTTGCATTGTAGTGTGTAGCATCCTCATACGGGTGTTTCTGCCCCCCAATTTTACTCGACAGTGTCACTGCCACCCATGGGCGTCCTCCTGCCGCCCATGGAAGCCCCCATGCCGCCCATCCTCACTGAACGGACGCTGCTGCCGCCCAGAGTCATAGTAAACTGACGCCAGTCAGTCTTATCATACAGGAAGAGCCGCATATCTATGGTACGACAAAATCAGCAGGTGTATACCGCCCACCCACACTTCTGCCACCCAGTCGCACACTGCCGCCCATCCTGGCAGAGCACATTACACATGCTCCTTCACCCTACTGTAATATTTCCAATATACCAGCATCAGTGTATCACAGCATACTGGTCTTTATTTATATACTACGTATATTCAGATATCCCCAAGAGGTATAACTCCTGTATATAACCTTAATTAGGTATTCCCAAAGGACTACCTTTTAAAAATACCCGTTTATGTTTGTTGGAATATTGAAATCATTGGACTGGACTTGCCTATTTGCGGTTGCAGGGTTCGAGTCACAGTTCCTAACCTGGGATAACAGGGAATGACTCTCTCGCTCGACTTCAAACTTCCCCCCCCCCTAAATGCAGATTATCATTGCCGAATTTTGTTAGTCTGGTAGTTTTTGTTAAGTTGTTTACCGAAAAGAACTAAAGAATGTCTTGGCTAATATATATACACACATATGCATGCATACACAAACGTGCACATGTATGCATATTCACATACACATGTATACATATTCACATGCCATGTATATGTACGTATACCCCTTTTTCCTCTTTTTTTCAACACGTCGGCAGTTTCCCACCGAGGCAAGGTGACCCAAAAAGAAAAACGTGTATACATATATACATTATAAATGCCAGGGGCCAGGAGCAGAGTCTCGACCCCTGCAACCACAATTAGATGAGTGCATGTATATATATGCACATTTATACATATATAGACATGCATAAGTACTCCATGCATATGCAGAGTGCTTATACATGCATATTTTTATACTGTACTAGAATTTCATGACCACCCTGCACTATTCTTTTTGCATTAGTTTAGGTAGAGGGTGAAATTAAGACACATGTGCAACATCTGGGAATCTTTATTGCAGACGTTTTGCCATCCAGTGGCTTTATCAATACAAATTCCAGGACATAACTTGAAGACAGTTGAACTATATATACAGAAGATGAGGTAATCAGTCCCTCAACCTTGGAGTAGGTGCGAAGAACACCGTAGTCGTGGAGATTCTGAAGCAGAAGCAAGGTGCCTATCCTGGAATTTGTATTGATAAAGCCACTGGATGGCGAAACGTCTACAATAAAGATACCCAGATGTTGCACATGTCTTAATTTCATCTTGTCGGTATTGTATACCATTCTTGTACAACTTGTCAGACACTGCAACATAATAGGTAGAGGGTGCTGGGCTTATGAGGTATGGGGATACCTTGGATCACACAGCTCCCCAAATACACCCGGTTATATTCGTGTGGAAGTGCCAAACCCGTACCACTTTGTTGGGGGCAAGCAGCGCTGTAGTAGAGGAAATTGTTAGTGATTCTGTTAAGTCGTAGACTGACAGGATCTAAGATCTTTTTGCTCATAATATTTGTTGTAAGTTCTGTAGCTTTTATTATAAAAAAAATTGAAGCTGAATTGGTCATTATTTCCATTAACAAGTGCCTGTAAGTCACTCTCTTGTTAAGTTTAGAAAGAGAAATTCGGATCTTAACTTGCAGCTCCCTTTCGGAAGGAGGTAGGACTAAGTTAGTTTATTCAGGTATACATAAATAGTTACATAGATTATCATACATAGCAGCATATGTGTAAAGTACCTAGGATAACCCCCAAAAAATCTGGCTGTTTGATTGGTTACTTTGGGATGCCCAGGAGTTACCTTGTTAGTGTGTCGGCAATTTCATGTGCCCTTGAAAGGCTCTAATTAGGTCTAAAATAAAAAGAACTGTTGGAGTCGCACAGGAGACTCCTTCAAATATTTTACCATGCCTAAGAATCTAGCATAATAATCATCGTTGCCTAAATAAACTTGCAAATTCTAGGTTAATGTCATTAAAACCAACCAACAAAAGTTCAAGATCCAATGAAAAATTTCCATTGTTAAACTTTATTGCGTTTTAATCCCCATATGTATGTGGCCTCAGAACCACTGTACAAATTTATTCTGCTAATTGTAAAACCATTTTTATTGTGCTAATGGGGAAAGCGCTGAAGTCTTTGGGGTTATACAGTGCAGAGAGAATGGATGTCTGTCATCTCAAACTCCTTTGATCATGATATTTAATAACAGAATCCATCATATCTAGATTGGAGCAGTGATCTAGGAAAGGGAAGGGAAGGGTAGCACCTAGTCTGTGGATTGAGAGTCCTTTACTAGCATACAAGTAGCCCCTTCAAGAACACACTAATTGTAACATTATCACACCAGGGATACTAATTTCTTTCTTTGTCTTCCAGCCTGGCCATTGGGTTACTAGATGCCACATACACCTGTACTTATAATGGATCTTCCAGCCTGGCCAATGGGTTACTAGATGCCATACACCTGTACTGATAATGGATCTTCCAGCCTGGCCAGTGGGTTACTAGATGCCACATACACCTGTACTGATAATGGATCTTCCAGCCTGGCCAATGGGTTACTAGATGCCACATAAACCTGTACTGATAATGGATCTTCCAGCCTGGCCAGTGGGTTACTAGATGCCACATAAACCTGTACTGATAATGGATCTTCCAGCCTGGCCAATGGGTTACTAGATGCCACATAAACCTGTACTGATAATGGATCTTCCAGCCTGGCACTGGGTTAGCAGATGCCACATACACCTGAGATTTTTGGATGTGCTCATTGTTTAAAGGCAGATAATGTGTGAAAGTGCTAAACCCACAAGGGTCATACAGCGCCTTGGAAATGCGAGTCTGTCATCACAAACTCCCTTGATCGCAATAGTATTTAGAAACAGTCCAGTGTAGAGTGGATCAGTGAATAATAAATAAATGATAACTATTTCCACATGATACAGATTTACAAAATTGGATGATAATAGTATGCATGGAAAACCCATTAGTTGTGCAGAGAATTTTGGTCCAGCTAAAAACTAACATAAGTTCAATAGAATGTGAAACATATACATGTGTATACAAAAACATTAAATATATACACACAGATTAAAAGTAATTCTAGGAATACTGTATAGCAAATATATGTAAAGTAGAATCAAAATGTAGCATGGTGCACTACAATGGTGAAAAATGAATGCCAGTATGAAAATGCAATTGTTGTTAGTCAGTATGGTGCTGGTAGTTGTTTTAACAACCATTACACTGCTTTTTTATTCAGTGCTTCTTAATTCTCTCATACCCATCACACCTAGATTGGCCATATATAAAGCAGTCAAACTAAAGCAGGAAAACGAATACCAAGTTTTAGTTGGATCGGCCATTGAATCGCAGTTTTATACTTTGGTGGTTCACAATTGTACATCAAATGTTACTTTAACCCATGTACAGTGGAACAATAATTACTGGCAGAAAGTAGGTGATAGTAGGATTTATTTGTATAGTTCATTTTACGATGCGAGGTATATTTACTCGAGCATGCAGTATCACTACGTTCGAGTCATAGGGATGTCCCTGGGTAAAATTCAAGAAAATGAATCTTACTTCTGCAATATGTGGTATAAAGAAATGCAGGACCCGATAGTTGTCGAAGCGGACGCTTCGGAAGTCTGGATGCCACTGTGGAATCGTCGTCCTGACCCCAAAACCTATCATACTTACTTGTTTACGTGCCCCGTTCCATTAAAATTACGTGACAGCCATTTATACCCAAATTTTGTTTCTCTGTCTTCACGGGCATGTGATAATGTTACTACGAAATTGCCCATTCAAAAGGAGGGCTTTAGTGAATTTGTGCATAGAAAAATAAAGAAAAAATATGCAGTGTGTGTAAAGGGAATGGATTTTGAAGATGATTTGTCCCTGAAAATTATTGAATGGCTGGAACTTCTCTATATTCTTGGTGCAGATAAGGTGTTTATATATAAATATATGGTCCATAGAAATGTAGAAAAAGTTTTAGATTATTATGAAAATGAAGGAAAAGTGAAGGTCCTTCCATTAACTTTACCAGGAGAGCAACCAAATGAACCCAAGTTACGTTCTTTATACCTGAAAAAATCTATGTGGCAGAAAAGAAGAAATGAGCTTGTACCATACAATGACTGCTTGTATAGAAACGTGTATTTGTATGATTATGTTATACCGTTAGATATAGACGAAGTTGTTATACCTGTGAAGGACTATACATGGTCTGATATGTTTGAAACATTCCAGAGAGAGAAGCCTCACGCCTTTGCCAAATATGCTTCATTTTCAGCTCAGAATGCCTATTTCTTAGATGTATTTAACATTACATATAATCCAAAAGTGCCAGAATATTTCCACATGGTGCATCGAACTATAAGAAGTGCCAATTTTAGCATCTTTGGACATTCCGTAAAAAGTTTTGTGTCCACTAAAAACTCTCGGACAGTGTTCAACCACTATGCACTACAACCTCTGTACTCTAGCATGAAAACAAACATGGTGTTGAACACATCACTTGTCCAGATGAACCACTATAAGAAGCGATGTCCCAGGGAACTATATAGCCAGTGCAAAAGTAAGTTTCTTCGTTATACTGTCAGGGATAACATAATAGATAAGTACGTAAAAGAGCTTCTGTTTAAAGTGGAAGCTGCAATTCAAAATATTAAAATACTAGTCTAATAATTTTTTTTTCAGTTTTAGGATGTAGGTTGTCAGGAGTTTCAGTAAATTTGATTATTTATTCATGAGTTTTTTAATCTTTGATGTTCATCCGGGTGTACGCGCTAAAAATTATAAATTTTTAACATTTTGTAATTTACATTTGGTGAAACATGCACAACAACAGTGGCATTCTTTATTTGTAAAATGTTTCATCCAGCATAGAGCTTTTTCAACTAGAGCAAATTTGAGAGAATTGCTCATTTACAGAGGTAGTTCAGAGTTACCCACTAAGGTGTCTTATTCTTAAGAATGAGTAAAGGTACTGAAACAAGGGCAGAGCACTGCAGCAGGCCTAGGGACCTTTGTATAGTTTAATACCATATCAGTTATGTAAGTGAACATAGTAAACATCCCATTTTGTTTGGTGTTAGTTTCATAACCATTTGATTCTAGGTATTCAATTTATCTTGTTTCTGGTGCAGTAGTACAGTTTTGTCCCACACCATGAGGTGTGAATTGCAGTGCTGTGTGCAGGCATCTTTGGTGTTATCTAAGAACAGACTGTGTTCCTGTGGATGGACAGGTAAGCCTGGTCTTGCCAATATAAGTAAATTTATTTAGGTACAGGTACACATAAGTACAATTACAGTACAATTGGACTTCCAGCAAGCGTGCATGAGCGTGTTAGATAGGAGTGAATGGAGACGAATGATACTTGGGACCTGACGATCTGTTGGAGTGTGAGCAGGGTAATATTTAGTGAAGGGATTCAGGGAAACCGGTTATTTTCATATAGTCGGACTCGAGTCCTGGAAATGGGAAGTACAATGCCTGCACTTTAAAGGAGGGGTTTGGGATATTGGCAGTTTGGAGGGATATGTTGTGTATCTTTATACGTATATGCTTCTAAACTGTTGTATTCTGAGCACCTCTGCAAAAGCAGTGATAATGTGTGAGTGTGGTGAAAGTGTTGAATAATGATGAAAGTATTTTCTTTTTGGGGATTTTCTTTCTTTTTTGGGTCACCCTGCCTCGGTGGGAGGCGACCGACTTGTTGGGGGGGGGGGGGGGGGGGGGAAACCAAGAAAGTCAGTGACTTGTTTCTGTTGGGGTCCCGATGACAATCACTACACTTCTGCATCAGTGGGTCCCAGTGTATGGCATAGAGGTCCTTTTGAAGTCCTGTATGGTTCTGCAGTGACTAGTGTGACATCAGTACTGGATTTCTGAAGCACAAGGGATGCTGTGTCTGCGACAGCAGATGTGGGTAATATGCGTCTTGTGTGTTTTCTTGGCTCCTGGCATTGTGGTGCATCTGTACAGCTTTCGACTTACAGTAGAATCCAGTGTGGAAGCAATTTGAACACTTCCTCGGTCTCTAATTTCTGCCACCTGTGATTCTTCTCTTTAAGTGTAAAGTTGAATAGCTGCACCACAATGCCAGGCGCTGAGGAAACAACACAGATGTATATACACATGCATTACCTACAGGTACTGTTGCAGACACAGTATTTCCAATTTATCAAAAATCCAGCACTGACATCACAGTAGTCACTACAAAAACCATACAGGGCATCACAAAGACCTGGGCCCCGTACACTGGGTCCACTGATGTAGGGGTGCACAATGTTCCATGTGTTAGCAGTGACTAGGGTAAAGGACTACCAGTTAGTCTACAGAAAAACAGGAATGCTCTTGAGAGCAGATATGAATAATGCCATTGTAAGCACCGCAATTCATTCACTCCTTGTGCTGCACAACAAAACTACGATGCCACCTAGGTCGTCGGTTATTAAAATAACCAGTCTAACAAAAAAATGGTAGGCGAGTATCCTATTTATAATAAAATAAACATTTTGTTTGTCCACCCCCATTGTGCATATTGTATTAAACCAAGCATGGGTCGGTAGGATTCCTGCAGTGCTCCATCCGCACTAGAGTAGCTTTACACTTATTAAAGCACAAGACACTTTAATCATTCCCTTTCAACTAAAGCCACTCTCATACCTGTCATGCACTTGAAAAAAAATTAATGTTGGGTAAAATATGGCACTATTTGTCAGCATCTTGCCACTCTCTCTGCTGTTTCACCTTTGTTTTCTAGTCCTATGTTTTTAACTAGTATTCTGAACAGTGCGGTATGCAATATTGTTTATCTTGTGTGTGGCTCTCGCACCTGACAAAACATTGGTATCAAAATTACTAATAGTTTATGCGCCTGATTTTTCCAATGTAATGTTTTGCATTTTTCATTCATTTAATTTTTAAGTGCCTATAATCAAAGCTAATATATATATATATATATATATATACGTATATATACAATGTTAAAATTATAGAACTGCATTATTGGTGGTTTCATTTTACTATCAAAATGTTTCTCTTACATGACCCTAGTGGGTTAAGTGATTAATAATAATGTCTCTTATGTAGTCTACTCCCATAAGGCTCCTATGTAGTGCAATTCTTTGTGACAAACGACGGAAGAAGTACAGCACATTTAAAATTAAATAGCCATGGAAAACCCTTTATAGAAAATGTTATTTAATTTTTAATGCACTTTTTTAATCACATTTATCAGTGCTGTATGACCCTTGTTGGTTTAGTGCTTATGGTTACAATGATACATAATTGAATTACAAAAAATAATGCTGTATAGATCTTTGTGAGAGCAGACTGCATCCCAAAAATATTTTACTGATTGACAGCTGTTAGCTGTGTATACTGTCCTTGATGGAAGTGAAGGGCTCTTGATCCAAGGAATTGGAGTTCCCCTTCCTTTGGTTTGACCCTTAAGGGTTTAGCACTTCATTATGATAATCTCCTTTTCATTATAAAATGCAGACAAAGGAGTAAAATGTGTTCAATAGCCATGTATCTGACTCAACGTTTCACCTTCTCAGACTTTTAATACAGACAAGATTTCAATACTGGAGGCAGCAGAGGTGAAACAATAAGAGGTGATCAGTCCCTCACCCTGGAACAATTATTTCAGTAGTGGTTGATTTGATCACGTCCATATTTACCTCTACACTCCTTCCCCCCCCAAGTCAGCCGTCTCCCACCGAGGCAGGGTGACCCAAAAAAGAAAAAATCCCCAAAAAGAAAATACTTTCATCATTCAACACTTTCACCTAACTCACACATAATTACTGTTTTTGCAGAGGTGCTCGGAACACAACAGTTTAGAAGCATATACGTATAAAGATACACAACATATCCCTCCAAACCGCTAATATCCCGAAACCCCTCCTTTAGAGTGCAGGCATTGTACTTCCCATTTCCAGGACTCAAGTCCGGCTATATAAAAATAACCGGTTTCCCTGAATCCCTTCACTAAATATTACCCTGCTCACACTCCAACAGATCGTCAGGTCCCAAATACCATTCGTCTCCATTCACTCCTATTGAACACGCTCGTGCACGCCTGCTGGAAGTACACTCCTGTCTCCAATGTTTGTCAAGTCTGTATTCAACTGAAGATTGCTGAGCAGGTGAAAAGTTTCCTAGTAAAAGATATATGCATCTTGCTGCTCTACTTGTCAAACAGGGCTGTATTATACAGTATACCATGAATATGAAAGCTCCAGTTTCATTAAGATTCCCTTGTCAGCATCAAGGAACCTTCATTGAGGATGCAGAACCATCCTTGAAGATGCAGCATCCTTTCTCTACCTCCCTATAGGAAGTAGGAATCTCTCCCTTGACTTCTTTCAATTCATTAATTTTTTCATCTTTTCCTTTAACCTGTAAACGGTCCAAACGTATATATACGTTTTTTCAACATTTGAAAGTATGTAAAAAAAACGTAGATCTACTTTTGTAGCACTACACATGTGAACGTAGATCTGCTTGGACCGTTTACAGGTTAAAATACCAAATATGAGAAAAAAAACCACTGGTATCTTCTGTGCACTATTTTTAATCTTTCACCATTTCAAACATCACTTACCATTTCAAATATAGATTTTTGTTCTAGTAAATCAAAAATATATAATATATATAAAACATATCAGTCATTTGTTTCTACAAGAACAATACTCCATTGGTATATTTTGCATGCTCAATGTGAATTATACAAGTGATTATGCATGCAGTTTAGCTGCTATAATTTAACCTAGCTGCTTTGTTAATGAAAATCAAAATGTCTATTTCTACTCTCCTATCATATGCTGTATAAAACTAGACATGTACTCGATATCTTTGAAGGTACCAACGGAAATTTCACTTTTTTTTGTACATTGTTTGTGCAAACCTCCATGCAGACCACAGTGTGCTTTCACAGAATACAGGAGAGTCCTGCATATACAGAACCAACCTTTAGTGTTGCATGTCTTTGTTTACTTTCAACTGGGCTATTCTTCCACTTGCTGGTGCATGAAACAATGAACAATGGCTCAATTTGTAGCCAACAAAAACGTGGAACACAGAACAGGTGCGTATGTGAGGGGGCCTTCCTGTAATTGGCTCTGGTAAAAGTTCTAACTTAAACAAAAAAAAAACCTGTACTGCATTTTTTGCAATGAAGACATCTGTATTGAGCAAATGCAACACAACACTTATGGATTAATACTGACATTGCTAGCCGTTGTTATCACACAGTAACCGCCGAGCACACAACGCAAAAATTCACTTTAAAGAACTCGTTGCACCAGCATTTATATGCAGTTTAGACAAGAATGAAACCTCTACAATGTCATTTAAGTCTTAAAAAATAGTGTAGTGATATGTAAAAAGTCTAAAAACTATTACAACTATATTGTGAATAAGACTTGGCAACTGTGCATTTGAAAACAGTTAAAAACCACTTTGCAAAACTTAGGCTTGACACTTAGAAATTTTTATCAGTGCACCATGAGCTTTAATCTTGCATTTTTAAGTTAATGATAAATAAGAATAGTTCATAAATGCATATCGCAGAATTCTGAAACTAAGAAATTAAACAAAAATGAAAAACAAAATTTAAAATTCAATTCAACACTGTATGACCCTTGTGGGTTTAGATCTTAGTTACGATTATAATAATTCAATTAAAGTATCATTACCAATAAATTCCATGTAGTACACACAAGAGCTGAATTACAAATACAGTATTTTAATATCAAAGAAATTAAGCTTTTTTGTGAAATTTACTAAACTTTTCATTTAAATAATGGTACTATTACATACTGCAAAACTGAGATGAATAGAATTAGTCGTATATAAATGCATTTTTAATATACGTATCTAATGCCCTAAAATTCAACTGCAATAGTTAAGATGCTATAGCAACTTATAAAGCAACATTGTGAAAATCATTACCATTGTTTTGGACATAAATATCACCTGTATTGTTGCCTATGTAAAAATTTGGAAAAAAAAAAAAAGACACGCTAAAATAAATTTTCATGCCTAATGTCTGAATCTGTTATTAATGTGGTAAACCATTTACTGATTTGCTGCTTGTAAGGGGTCATTTTCCCACTATGTAAAGGAAGACTTGCCTAGAGAAAATTCAAATTCAGTAAACCCTCTATTTAAGAGACTTTGTAAATGCAGAACAAAATCTGCTGGGTTAATGGACACAGAAACAACTGATTAAGTCCATTTACCCTTTGAGTTTCAAGAGTCTTTAGTGATAAGAGTCCAGCCATCAATCACCATTTTCATTATCATTTTCCATGTCTGAGTGCTAACCCCATAGGTTCCCCCCCTGCCCCTATTAATAAGAACAAACCCTTGCTTTAACTATTACATATTACATTCCATAGCTAAAAAAAACAATCTGAAAAGCTAAACTGAAACACTAAAGTACAATACACTGAAATTAATCAAACAATTTACCCATATCTAATTTCAGAAGTTCATTATACTGAGGTCAATTATATCAAGGTCTGTTAAACTGAGCGTTTACTGTATTAATCTCAACCAGTAGTTGAAAAATATTTGGAAAACTATGAAACTTAATATAAAATTACATACATACATACATTTAATTGTCTTGATCCACACTCAAATGAAAGGAAACTCAACAAGTGATATACCATTGAGGACATTTAAAATGTTAAAAAGGCTAAGCACATTACCAAGGAAACTATTTAAATACATTAAATTACTCCCAAGTTTAAGTTATACTGGAATGTGTATGAACTAAGACATCCAGTCTTAAATTCATAATACCAGCAGTAGAACACACAAAATTGGAAGAACAGTTTTCAAGAACCAACTGCGTTGTCTTGCACAGTTTATTACAGTTCAATGAGATTCAATAACTATGTTAAAAATATAAACTATAATTTACTCGACTTTACAGCCTGACATTACCTTGATATTGTTCACAAAATCACTCATTACTGTACTCCCTCATGATCCACAAGTTCTGTAACCACTATTTGTGCTATCCACAAGCTATGTCTGACGTCCAACCCCACAGTTACGGATTATTTCTGCCATCCATGAGCTGTCTGACATCCTACTCCACACAGTTACGGATTATTTCCGCTATCCACGAGCTATGGCAACCTACTCTACATAGTATCACTGAATTTCAGCAAACCACTGAGGATTAAGTGCACACATCTTAACCCATAGCAACCTGTCTGCAGGTGCTTCTGTCTCCCCAACTTGTGCTGAGCATCTGACTGTGTGAAACATTGTAGATGAATGGTTCAAAGAACCGACACGTGAAACATTTTAAGTTTTCCCACAGCTTAGGCCTTCCGGTTTTCGTCATGGATTTTATCATTACTGAGGGCCTGTAGGGATCTCAGGGAAATTTCTAATGAGGTTTTAACCGATGCTGGTTATCTGAACTATCTGATAGTGTGCATCTGCATTGTGTTTTCTGTTGACAGTTTAACGGTTTGTTAATTTCATCTCTATCATGTGTGCATGTATTTTGAAAATATTTATATTGTTAAGAGTGCCAATAATCTACACGGTCACAATGCTCTTAAAACTGGCTTTCAATTAGCAAGATAATTTCAGATCAACAACGTGCTGACATGTTATGAATTACTGATTGATCAATTCATAATAACTGACAAGCTGTGCAAATGGAGTAATACCACATAAATAACACCTATGTACAGGGGACAGGACCCCAAACTCTGTTTTCCAATTAAAATATGGGGTCCACAGGCAAGTTTTCTAACCCTGACCATCTCATGGATAACATACTTCACAGATCATGAGGTAGTAGAGTGCTTGATGTACAACTACTAAGTACTCATTATGCATTAGGCTAAATATCATCTTCAAATGCTGCCACGACAGAATGTTAATTTACAGTCCTTACAACTCATCTTTGGAAGCATCTGTAGTGCTTGATGCAAAATTCTTGCTGTCATCTGGCTTGGATGCTCCCTTGGCCTTATCTACAGCTGCCTGGATATCGTCAAAAACTTCCTCGATGGATGTGCGTGTCCCCCAAGCCTTGACAGTGTGACCAGTCTCATCTACCAGATACTTGTAAAAATTCCAATCTGGTACCACAGATGATTCCTCTGTTGAAATGATTACATTTTAGTACAAGAAAATAGATCTCTGCATATGCAATAAAATGTTTTAGCACATTTAAAGGAGGGGTTTGGGATATTGGCTGTTTGGAATGACATCTAAACTGTCATATCTAGGCAACTCTGCAAAGACAGTGATTGTGTGTGGATGATGGTGAAAGCGTTTCTTTCTTTTTTGGGTCACCCTGCCTTGGTGGGAGACAGCCGGAGTGTTGAAAAAGAAAAAACAAAATTGTCAGAAATTCTACCAACATTATTAGAACAGTTTTTTTCATCTGAATACCAGAAAATATAAAACTGGAAACAGAAGAAGTGATGAGATAATTTTAAAATGATCAGTTTCTCAGCTTTGAAACAAGGCAATCAGTCCCTCAGTCAAAGTAAAAGCACGAGGCCAGACCTTGAATGCTGGAACAGAGGTGAAGTGTAGCAGCTGAACACTTGTCTGACACAACATCATCAGGGTATCTTCATACACAAAATGTTTGCAACTCTATTGCTAGCATCTGTTTAGCATGACCTACTTTTACTAGTGGGCCCCACCCACCTGTGACATCAACTCTGGCTTCCACTACCTCAGGTCTGGCCCTATGCCACCACTTATCAAGGCTTAGGGGACTGATCACCTCAAAGTTACCTCATCACTTCTACTGCCTCCAGTGTTATCTCCTGAAATCTGTTGTGCAGGCAAAAAGGCTTTGCCAGCAGATACCCAAGCACTGCACATGCGTCGTATTCATTGCTGCATTCTATCCTGCAACACAATGTACTCTCGTGTATCTTAGGGTGATAATTTACCCTGCTGGCTCTTATGGAAATGAAAGCATAGTTTCTCAAGAGTGGTGCAGATGAACCCCTATATTTTACATATTATACCGGGTTTCCTTTTGTGAAATGAGCCAGAAACAAATCTACAGTACGCATTTCTTAACGTCTTGAGGAGCACCATGATGAGCACTTAAGTTCATAGTTCTGAGAAAAAGTGGGATATACAGATATTGATAGTACTTATACAGCATTTCAAATTGGTATTACTACATGAAAAAAAATTGATAAAATTAAAGCATCTGAATAATAAAAACAAAGAAAATATAAAAGAATAAATATAAAGAAACCAGCAAAGATAAATGTTCTACTGAACTTTCATGATTAATCCCATAATATCTAAACCTCAATTTTACAATATTTCATAATGGACTAAAAAGAAAATTTATGCATACCAATGAGTCTCTTAAAGGCTGGATCGGCATGCTCTCCGATCACATTAATCTTGTTGAAAATTGGAAACTCCACATCAAACTCTGAGGTAACAAAGTCAATTATCTCTGACATGTCTGACAATTCCTGATCACCAAACTGGCTGCAAGGGAATGCAAGAACAGAGAAGAAACCTCCAAAGCCTGGAAAAAAGCAGGAATAAATTAACACTTCTTCCACATATATTAGAAAGTAACAGCTACATATTAGATTCATGAGGAAATATTAAAAACATTGTGGGTATATAGCATCTAGAAAACAGGAGGTAATTGAGTTTACCGAAGGGCCCCCCACTTTACAGTGCTTTGCTTTACAGTTTCGTTAATGCAGTGGTTTTCAATTACAGTGGTACCCTGAGTTTTGAACTTTCTTCGTTCCAGAAGGCTGTTCAAGTGCCAGTGCCAAATGAACTTGTTCCCATAAGGAATAACGTAAATTAGATTAGTCCGTTTCAGACCCAGAAAAATACACTTACAAAAGCACTGACAATAATACACTTACATAATTGGTCGAGTTGGGAGCTGTTCAAAACTCGGGGTATCACTGTATACCCATTCTTTATTTATTCAGAATTCCTACAATATTTATATTCACCACTCACTATAAGCTAAGGATGAAAATGTATATGCATCTTTTAGGCCCAGCTCTATTGCTCACTTAATATATGATAGTGTAAATATGTTATCAGGCTTTTATTTATTTTTTTTTTTTATTATCACACCGGCCGATTCCCACCAAGGCAGGGTGGCCCGAAAAAGAAAAACTTTCACCATCATTCACTCCATCACTGTCTTGCCAGAAGGGTGCTTTACACTACAGTTTTTAAACTGCAACATTAACACCCCTCCTTCAGAGTGCAGGCACTGTACTTCCCATCTCCAGGACCCAAGTCCGGCCTGCCGGTTTCCCTGAATCCCTTCATAAATGTTACTTTGCTCACACTCCAACAGCACGTCAAGTATTAAAAACCATTTGTCTCCATTCACTCCTATCAAACAAGCTCACGCATGCCTGCTGGAAGTCCAAGCCCCTCGCACACAAAACCTCCTTTACCCCCTCCCTCCAACCCTTCCTAGGCCGACCCCTACCCCGCCTTCCTTCCACTACAGACTGATACACTCTTGAAGTCATTCTGTTTCGCTCCATTCTCTCTACATGTCCGAACCACCTCAACAACCCTTCCTCAGCCCTCTGGACAACAGTTTTGGTAATCCCGCACCTCCTCCTAACTTCCAAACTACGAATTCTCTGCATTATATTCACACCACACATTGCCCTCAGACATGACATCTCCACTGCCTCCAGCCTTCTCCTCGCTGCAACATTCATCACCCACGCTTCACACCCATATAAGAGCGTTGGTAAAACTATACTCTCATACATTCCCCTCTTTGCCTCCAAGGACAAAGTTCTTTGTCTCCACAGACTCCTAAGTGCACCACTCACTCTTTTTCCCTCATCAATTCTATGATTCACCTCATCTTTCATATGCATCTTTTATATGCATTTGAAAGTGAAAAAAGGTTATGATTCACGTTACAGCAATTTTTGCTTTACAACAGTAACCTGCTGTATAAGCGAGGCCCTCCTGTGTTTCCAAGAAAGCTGAAGGTACCTCTTAATTTCTTGAATCAAGAGCCCTTCACTAGCATCAAGGCAACTTTTCCCCCTTTGAAGCGCACATTGCTAGAAACATGTGCAGTTATATACTGAATTGGTAGAGTATAATTACAAAAACAAACTTGTATACCAGCATGACTCACGAAATCAAAATGACACAGAACTGGTGGGATTCAAACCTATGGCAGACAAGTCCTGAAACTCAGCAGCCAGTGTGCTAACCACTGGATCAGCTGACTCTGGTCCAGCAGTTATCAAATTGCCCTGTTAGTTTCAGGACTCACCTACCATGGGCTTTAACCTCATCTATTTTGATTGGTATACCAACAAAATGAGCAAAACATTGTCCTTACTATTAAAATAATATTAACATGGTACAGTAATACAGGTCTCCCTCAATATTTGCGAGGGTTAGGGGATCAAGAGCCTCGCGAATGTTGAAAAATCGCGAATGTTTGGTGCCCCAAAATATTGTAGGGAAATATAATACAATACTGCTTCCTTAACTTGTTGAACCATGAACAATCATAAAATACATGAAAACGTTGTAAATTGTACTAAATACATGTTATGGTTTAATAACATGTATGTTATTAAATACCACTGCCTCTACCACTGCCTCCACCAATGCCTCAACCACTGCTAGTCCCTACTACCCTCCCTCTGATCCCGCAACTGGCAGCCAGCCCTCCCACCACTCAGTGTGGTGAGTGTTTTGTTTGTTCATTATTTGCTATTAAACTACAGTATAAATAATGTAAACACATTCATGACTGCATATTGGAATGGCTATTTGGACAGGTATTAGACAGTGACATCATGTGTTTACTCTGGAACACAGCAAAGAATCAAACATTTCTGCTACTGCTAATAATAACAATGGTAATAATAACAATGGTGGTAATAATAATAATAATAATAATAATAAATAATAATAATAATAATAATAATAAATGCGATAGAATTGAAGAAGGAAATTGTACAAAAATACGAGGGAGTGGTTGACACATGGTCAGTGTGGCTTTGTTTATGCAGGAGTGGGCATTAGTCTCCGTGCTCTTCCAAACATTTCACAATAATTCACTCTGTTTGGTGCTTGCAGACTGAGTGCGACTGGAGTGGTAGAGGCAGTGGTTGAGGAAGTGGTTGAGGAAGTGGTTGAGGCAGCAGTTGAGGAGCTGGTAGAGGCAGCGGTTTAGGCAGGGGTTGAGGCAGCGGTTGAGGCAATGGTGGAGGCAGCAGTTGAGGCAGTGGTATTTAATAACATGTTATAAATAATAATAATACATATTATTAACATTTATTATTATTATTATTATTAACATGTATGTTATTAAATACCACTGCCTCAACCACTGCCTCACCCGCTGTCTCACCCACTGCCTCAACCGCTTCCTCAACCACTGCCTCTACCACTCCAGTCGCACTCAATCTACAAGCGCCAAACAATGAATTATTGTGAAATGTTTGGAAGAGCACGGAGACTAATGCTCACTCCAGCATAAACAAAGCCACACTGACGACGTCTCAACCACTCCCTCGTATTTTTGTACAATTTCCTTCTTCAATTCTATCGCATTTATTATTATTATTACTATTATTATTAGCAGTAGCAGAAATGTTTGATTCTTTGCTGTGTTCAAGAGTAAACACATGATGTCACCGTCCAATACCTGTCCAAATAGCCATTCCAATATGCAGTCATGAATGTGTTTACATTATTTATACTGTAGTTTAATAGCAAATAATGAACAAACAAAACACTCGCCACACTGGTGGGAGGGCTGGCTGCCAGTTGCAGGGGTCGGAGGGAGGGTAGTAGGGACTCGCAGGTGGCGGGAAACTTAAATATGATTTGGCGGCTGGGAATTTGGCAGTTTGGAATTCGCGAATGTGTGAAGCCCGCGAAAGTTGAAAACGCGAATGTTGAGGGAGACCTGTATAACAATGGCAAAGAAAGGAAATGTACAAGTTTAGTGGTACCAACACTGTGTGTGAAGCACAAGTTTTGAATGTTGCAGTGAGAAGGAAGCTGGAGGCAGTGGAGAAGTCACATAGAGCAACGTATGGTGTGAATCTTATGCAGAGAATCCGTGGATAGAAATTAAAAACAGTGAGAAGCCATTATGGTGTTAATAAGATAACTGAAAAGTGGTTCAAGTGGTTCAGGCATTTAGAGGATGATGATGAAGTGTGTATAATTCTGAGGTGGAAGGTAAATAGGTATGCATTATTCCAGGAATGGTTGGAGGGAGAGTAGAGGTAAGATAAGATAAGATTTTCTTCCGATTTTTAACCCTGGAGGGTTAGCCACCCAGGATAGCCCAAGAAAGTCAGTGCGTCATCGAGGACTGTAACTTATTTCCATTGGGGTCTTCAATCTTGTTCCCCCAGATGCGACCCACACCAGTCAACTAACAACCAGGTACCTATTTGCTGCTAGGTGAACAGGACAACAGGTGTAAGGAAACACGTTGAAATGTTTCTACCCCGCTGGGAATCAAACAGCTTTGACTAGTAGGGCATTTAGCATCCAAACGTGTGTGACAGAGCATGTTATATTGGAGTAAGTGAAAACAAGTGATTTTTAATGGGCGGTGTGCTGTTGGAGTATGTCCGAGGTAACATTTATGAAGGGATTCAGGGAAACTGGTTAGCCAGACTTGAGTCCTAGAGGGAGTGGGTAGTGTCTGCACTCTGAAAGAGGAATGGTGACGTTACAGTTGAATGGTAATCAGAACTGTGATATCAGCACACTTTTGGCAAGACATAATTGATGGTGAATGAGTTTCATTTTTTTAATCATCTTACCATGGCGAGACAGCCATTACTTACTTAAAATATCATGTAGTTTCTTGAGTTCTCGGTAAGTCTTCTCTGTGTAGCCACATCGACTGGCCACATTAACTACTAAGGTCACCTGCAAGAGTAGTTTACAATATTAGTACAGGTTTCCTCTCTGTGCAAATTTGTTGATAGGTTTCCACCCTATTCTACCAGTAATCAGCAGCCTTATTCTACCAGTAATCAGCTATATGCAGTATAAATTTGTTCCTATGAATTATCAATCAACTGCAGCAGCACATTATTTTTTAACACTATCCCTTTAAATGTCATTCTAAACAAGTTTATATTGACAGTCATAAGAAATAATGAAAAGAAAGACTACAGATTTGAGCAATGAAAATCCAATAAGCATCCTATAGTTGATGTCCAATTTTTGCCAAGTCAAAAGAAAATGGACACCAACTAGATGAATTTGGGTTATAATAATAATAAAATAATATCTTCATTTCTACAAGTACATATACAAGGTATACAGACCATAGCCGACATCAATGACAAACTACTATATGGAAAGCTGCTTGTTATGCTGAGCATTTTGGGCAAATTAGGTCAGTTTTATCCCAGGATGCGACCCACACAAGTCGGCTAACACCCAGGTACCCATTTTATACTGATGGGCAAACATGGTCAGTAGGTGTCTTATGGAAACGCATCCTAATGTTGCCAGCTATACTGGGGATTCAAACTCTGGACCTCAGTACACAAAGCCAAGGCTGGGTGGAAGGAGAGAGGAAACAGTAGCAGGTAACCATGTACAGCATTCACTGATTCATAAGTGTTGTGATTATTTATTATTAGAATCAAAGGGGAAGCACTAAACCCATAGGATTATACAGCACCTGTGGGGAGGATGTGGAAGATATTCAGGTTTAATTCAGGGAACTGGAGCACAGATCCAATTCCCTAGACAAGTGTGGTGAGAGATAAAAGATTATGACTGAACTTAATTTTTTTTTTTTTTTTTTTGTCCAACTTCGTTCATTTATGGCAGTTTGGCACCATAATTTTTGGGTAAAAATAACTGAATTATTATTATTATTATAATCAAGGGGGAAGCGCTAAACCCGGAGGATTATACAGCGCCTGGGGGGGATGTGGAAGGCATTCAGGCTTAATTCGGGGAACTGGAGCACAGATCCAATTCCCTAAATCAAGAGCCCCTCACCAACATCAAGGAACCTTCCTTGAGGGGAAAAATAACTGAAGAAACGTGGAAGTCTTTCCCCCAATTTTGCATTGTATATATAGGGACTAATCCTAAATTTTGGGCTTTACTTTTCTCATGTTTTTTTATTAAATTAATCTATTTTTGTATATGACCATTTAGTACACGCGATAAGAGGGACCAAGACACGTGTAATTTGCAGTCAACAAACGAATCCGTATATTTTACATATTCTACTGGATTTGTTTTGTGACATTTGACCAAGAACGAAGCTCGAGTATTTTATAAATGCATTAAGACTACATATCTTTCACCCGATTCTATCTCCAATTCAGTAACACAATATTTCAAGCATTTATTCTGTACATGAAATCCTTACGGAGAAGTTAGTTAATTAAAGGAGGTGCTAAACCCAAAGGGGTCATATGCGCTTGGAGTGGGTAATGCAAGGGTAGTCAGGTTCGATTCAAGAGAGGGAAGGTATAACTCCTTGGATCAAAAGCTCTTGAAGAACAATGGGAGGTTAATAATATAACTATTATTACATTCGTGAAGGAGCCCTAAACCATTAAGGGCCATACAGCGTATGGGGGAATGTGAGGCACTCCAGTTCAATCGAAGGGAGGTCCAATTCCTTGAATCAAGAGCACCTCCTTTGAGGAATAAAATATTAATAAATTATTATTATTAATTTCGTGGGGGAGCCCTAAACCCACAGGGGCCATACATCGTATGCGTGAACGAGGCATTCAGAGTCAACTGGAGGGAGGTCCAATTCCTCGGATCAGGACCCCCTCACCGACATCAAGGAAACTCCTTTAAAATGTAAAAAAAAGAGAGATTAATAAAGTATTAACGGCGATATAATAAAGAATTGCTCAACCTTGCCACGGTACTGCTCCAGGGAGACGTCATTGCCATTGTGATCCTTGATGGTATGGCTGTAGAAGTCTTCTCCCTTGCAACACTGCAACACCAGCGTCATGGCGAGCAACACACACACTGCCTGACACATCTCTCAACACCCGCTGCACAGATATTTGTTGTGCGAGAGATAGCAACAAGCAGCAGAAGCAGCAGCGGCGACCATAGACGTTCAACCTCAGGTGTTTACCTAAATCCCTGTGTCCCAACCCCTGCATCTTACAACCAACTTTGACAAAATAAATAACAAAAACTTCCGTTGTATACATTTCTCACCTTATAGCAAGCCATGACTCTAATACTCCATCTCCTAGTATATACATCATTCCTGAAAATCCGGTAAAAACCGGAATATAAGTCAAAATTAAGTTAATAAGATAAAATACAAGGATACGAACACGGGGGGCGTTGACTTAAGTACCAGACAACCATACACAGCTGCCAGGTGCACGACATACATCATTTTTCACCATTAAACCTCTATATAAACGCCATACATAAATATACTTACCACAATATACTCCTGACAACCGCCCAATTGTAATATATTAACGGCTGGTCTCAAGAAACCACCAATGGAGTGATTTGCATATCAACATGTGGTTGACCACTTACATTAACTGCTGACGTGACTATTCTCGCCAACCCTCATTTTTTATCCAAAATTTATATATTATACTATCAATTTACGTCATTTAGCAAGATTTTACAACGTATTTAAAGTAAATGATTAACCACACATAAAGCGGTATCATATACTTGTAGAAATATAGATTATTATTATTATTATTATTATTATTATTATTATTATTATTATTATTATTATTATTATTATTATTATTATTATTATTATTATTATTATGATAACTTACTCCTTCAGGGAGGGCCTTGATGCTGTTGAAGGGCTCTTGATTCGGGGAACTGGGGCTACCCATTCCTTGGATTCAAACTTGTTACCTCACCGTCTAGGAGCGCTGGTGTGACCTCCCCCTACGAGTTTAGTGCTTCTCTTAGAATATATTACTAATAGCAACATGAAGTGGGTGGCATCCTAGGATGGTATCCTAGGATAATACCCTAGGATAATATCCTAGGATGAGTGCTAGGGTAATATCCTAGGGTAGCATCCTAGAGTGCTAGGATGATGCTATGATATCCTAGGATGAGTGCTAGGGTAATATCCTAGGGTAGCATCCTAGAGTGAGTGCTAGGATGATGCTATATCCTAGGATGAGTGCTAGGGTAATATCCTAGGGTAGCATCCTAGAGTGCTAGGATGATGCTATGATATCCTAGGATGAGTGCTAGGGTAATATCCTAGGGTAGCATCCTAGAGTGAGTGCTAGGATGATGCTATATCCTAGGATGAGTGCTAGGGTAATATCCTAGGGTAGCATCCTAGAGTGAGTGCTAAGATAGCATTCTAGAGTGCTAGGATGATATCCTAGAGTGAGTACTAGGGTGATATCCTAGAGTACTAGGATATCCTAGAGTGAGTACTAGGGTGATATCCTAGAGTACTAGGATATCCTAGAGTGAGTACTAGGGTGATATCCTAGAGTACTAGGATATCCTAGAGTGAGTACTAGGGTGATATCCTAGAGTACTAGGATATCCTAGAGTGAGTACTAGGGTGATATCCTAGAGTACTAGGATGATATCCTAGGGAAAGTATTTGAATAAGATCCATGGGTAACATCCTACAGTGAGTGCCAGAGTGACATCCTAAGCTGACATCCTAGGATTTTTAATTCTACAGTATTAATTAATAATCCTAACATACCATCCTGCCTCACCAACAACACCACAGCCATCATAGGCCCCCCAAAAATTGAATCCTGAAAGCCTCTCTATCCAAAATATATATATTTTTCCCAAGCAAATAACATTGACTCTTACATAAATCTATTTCGAAAACACAAAGTAACGAAAATCATCCAAAAAAGTCTTTTTCACAATGAATAATTATCACCACAGGGAAATTAGTCACCAGTGACTAATTTCTACACGAATAGAATTTTTTTCGCACCTGCAGAATTAGATTTACTGCAATGTTAATTTGCATCCCGTTGCTGTATGAAATAGACAGACCGGAAAAGATACTAAATTTGGGGGAAGGAATGGGTGAATACTGAGGATGTTCTCATAGACTTCTTGTCTCATTAATGGGGGCGGGACGGATTAAGACGGCACCACCCAAGTGAATATATATATTTTTTTTTTCATTAGCAATTATATACAGTGGCCTGATTGATGATGCTCTGGCCTCACACACTGAGTGTCCGTAGTTCGATCCCCGAATTATCATTCATAAGAGGGATTACCAATAGACCCCTGGTAGTCTTCAAGACTTCTCGGTGTCTTTAAGACCCCTGGTTGCCTTCAAGACCCCTGGTTGACTTTAAGTTCCCTGGCTGTCTTCAAGGCCCCTGGTTGTCTTTAAGATCCCTGGTTGCCTTCAACCCCTCAAGGAAGGTTCCTTGATGTTGGTGAGGGGCTCTTGATTTAGGGAATTGGATCTGTGCTCCAGTTCCCCGAATTAAGCCTGAATGCCTTCCACATCCCCCCCCCAGGCGCTGTATAATCCTCCGGGTTTAGCGCTTCCCCCTTGATTATAATAATAATAATAATTTAAGATCCCTGGTTGCCTTCAAGACCCCTGGCTCTCTTCAAGAAGGTGCTAGGCAGACACCTAAAGTCAGTACCTGGCCAACGTAAGCACGTAAACACATTGGTTTACGTGTGACCTGCAGTAACAGCCTGGTTGATCAAGTCCTGGTTAAAGGGGTAAAATGTTATGGACTTCAAAGAACAACATACAACTCACATTCCAGGAACCGTGATTCGACCCCACGCAACTACACCTTGGAGATCACACTTACCATCACGTTAACATCTAAATTCAACTGTTACACCGAGGTCTCAGCAGGCATCCCGGGCATCGTATATTCCCATGCCTGGGGCATGCTGTTGCAATGCATTCCCTCTGATGCTGGTGGAGAGCTCTTGACCCAAGGAACTGGATCTACCCTCTTCTTCCATATCATCAATCCTGACCTTCCCCAGGCGCTATAATAATAATAATAATAATAATAATAATTCACTAACGAATCCGGTTCCTCAAAGTATTGCAACCGTAAACGACTCCAGCGGATCCGTGCATTTGGATTCTTCGGGTCAGCGGGCGGGCGTAGGGGTGGGACCAAGACGATCGGTGGGCGTGGAAGCTGGGTCTCTGGGTGGGTGGTAGGTGTGGGCTGGTGGGTGGGTGGGTGGACTGGTGGGTTTAGTTTGGTCATAAAGCTCTTTGGAACACCGGAGTCCGCGTCAGTGCGCGAGAGACGGATCCGGCTTCACTAACTCCAAGAAGATCCATCTCTTTCTCTCTCTCACACTCTCTCTCTCTATCTCCCAGCATCATGGTGCGTCCCTCCCTATGGTAAGTCGGCATCTTATACCTTCCCTTCTCCCATATATCTTCACCATGGTACCATCACTGCACGCACTATTCACCAGAAAATCGGGAATTAAGAGACGTTTCCACTAGTGGAATGATGGCTGTAAACGAACCCGGACGTTGTCCAGTTATCCGTTCCAATTTATGGGTCAGTTGTGAATTGTCCCAGCCATGGTATTGTGGGTTAGTTGTGAATTGTTCCAGCCATAGTATTGTGGGTTAGTTGTGAATTGTTCCAGTCATGGTACTGTGGGTTAGTTGTGAATTGTTCCAGCCATAGTATTGTGGGTTAGTTGTGAACTGTTCCAGTCATGGTATTGTGGGTTAGTTGTGAATTGTTCCAGCCATAGTATTGTGGGTTAGTTGTGAATTGTTCCAGTCATGGTATTGTGGGTTAGTTGTGAATTGTTCCAGCCATAGTATTGTGGGCTAGTTGTGAATTGTTCCAGCCATAGTATTGTGGGTTAGTTGTAAACTGTTCCAGCCATAGTATTGTGGGCTAGTTGTGAATTGTTCCAGCCATAGTATTGTGGGTTAGTTGTGAACTGTTCCAGCCATAGTATTGTGGGTTAGTTGTGAATTGTTCCAGCCATAGTATTGTGGGTTAGTTGTGAATTGTTCCAGCCATAGTATTGTGGGTTAGTTGTGAACTGTTCCAGTCATGGTATTGTGGGTTAGTTGTGAATTGTTCCAGCCATTGTATTGTGGGTTAGTTGTGAATTGTTCCAGTCATGGTATTGTTGGTTAGTTGTGAATTGTTCCAGCCATAGTATTGTGGGTTAGTTGTGAATTGTTCCAGCCATAGTATTGTGGGTTAGTTGTGAACTGTTCCAGTCATGGTATTGTGCGTTAGTTGTGAATTGTTCCAGCCATTGTATTGTGGGTTAGTTGTGAACTGTTCCAGTCATGGTATTGTGGGTTAGTTGTGAATTGTTCCATCCATTGTATTGTGGGTTAGTTGTGAATTGTTCCAGCCATAGTATTGTGGGTTAGTTGTGAACTGTTCCAGTCATGGTATTGTGGGTTAGTTGTGAATTGTTCCAGCCATTGTATTGTGGGTTAGTTGTGAACTGTTCCAGTCATAGTATTGTGGGTTAGTTGTGAATTGTTCCAGCCATAGTATTGTGGGTTAGTTGTGAACTGTTCCAGTCATAGTATTGTGGGTTAGTTGTGAATTGTTCCAGCCATTGTATTGTGGGTTAGTTGTGAATTGTTCCAGCCATAGTATTGTGGGTTAGTTGTGAACTGTTCCAGTCATGGTATTGTGGGTTAGTTGTGAATTGTTCCAGCCATAGTATTGTGGGTTAGTTGTGAACTGTTCCAGTCATAGTATTGTGGGTTAGTTGTGAATTGTTCCAGCCATTGTATTGTGGGTTAGTTGTGAATTGTTCCAGCCATGGTACTGTGGTGTAAAAGCGAATTGTAATTAATAATAATAATAATAATAATAATAATAATAATAATAATAATAATAATAATAATAATAATAATAATAATAATAATAATAATAATAACGAATTATACTTCCTTTGGAATCCTTCAGATTATTCCGTTCATATCTTGGGTTTTTAACAGTGTATATACTCTGAGAGGTGTATGTCTCTCAGTGTATATACTCTGAGAGGTGTATGTCTCTCAGTGTATATACACTGAGAGGTGTATGTCTCTCAGTGTATATACTCTGAGAGGTGTATGTCTCTCAGTGTATATACACTGAGAGGTGTATGTCTCTCAGTGTATATACTCTGAGAGGTGTATGTCTCTCAGTGTATATACTCTGAGAGTTCAGGTATTAAAGTGTCCTCGTCTGGTGGTGAGAATGTTATGTTGAGCCGTAATGACCCTAGTGTAGTCTCTAGGCTTCAAACCTCCCTATTAAGTAACCAGCCTACAAGTTTGTAATATCTCAGAGGCGCTTGAGGCCATGACCTGATGTGAGGTTATGAACGAGGTCATGATGAGAGAGAGAGAGAGAGAGAGAGAGAGAGAGAGAGAGAGAGAGAGAGAGAGAGAGAGAGAGAGAGAGAGAGAGAGAGAGAGAGAGAGAGTCAGGTCATTTCAGGTCCTTAACTTACGTTATCTGCTGGTAATGGCTCTGACATCTCTTATAAATACTTGTTCAATGGCTTCCCATTTACATTTATTAAGGTTCCGTTTGTAGGGTTATCGTAATTTAGACTCTTATTATTCAGAGTAATCGATTTATGTTATATCTCAATTAGTTTAAATTGCTTAATGGTCTGAAGGTCACCGTGGTGAACAGGATGGCGTCTGGCTGGAGACACAACGATTAGAATATATGTAATTTTATTAATTACACAAACTTGAATTTGAATAATATTCACCCACACACATATGAGAACCAGGTGTATATAAGACACATACCTGTGTGCTCTGAACACATAGGTGTTAGCGTCACATACCATTCCATAACATACTATCCCATAATTCATCTCACAACTGACCCCATCCAATCAGAGCACACATGGTCGACTGCCTTTGTAGACTTTACCATCCTGGCTTCTAAATGCTTCTTCGTGGATATAATAGTAACTATCCTGACTATCCTTACTCTTACATTTTTAACCATTACTATCCTGGCTTCTTAGTGCCTCTCCACGCATTTATAAGCGACCATCCTGACTATTCTTGCATCTTACGTTCCTAACCATCAGTATGCTGATCCGTCTGTTGCATTAGTAATGATCAGTCGAGTACTGAAATGAGGCATTACAGCCAGCGAGGCTTAATCAAGTATTTGAAGAGTCTCATCTAAGGTAAACATCTCATGAGAAAAATAATTATTCCTTCCTGAGTGGCTGGACCAAGAACATTACCACAACATCTATGGTCTCCCGCTTGTAATCTCCGTATTGAAGTGAAACACAAATCCACTGGACGGCGATACGTGTTCCCAGTGTTCCTAGGTGTTATACCTCGACCTTTCGAATCATCTTGCGGCTGTTGTATCTCTAAGACACTGTGTAGCGTCGTGGCTGCCTACCCAGAATGCTGGGGCACTGTGCTTGTTGCAGACATTACCGGAGATGCAATGTGCTTGTTGCAGACATTACCAGAGATGCAATGTGCTTGTTGCAGACATTACCAGAGATGTAATGTGCTTGTTACAGACATTACCAGAGATGCAATGTGCTTGTTGCTGACATTACCAGGGATGCAATGTGCTTGTTGCAGACATTACCAGAGATGCAATGTGCTTGTTGCAGACATTACCAGAGATGCAATGTGCTTGTTGCTGACATTACCAGGGATGCAATGTGCTTGTTGCAGACATTACCAGAGATGCAATGTGCTTGTTGCAGACATTTCCAGAGTGCTGTGTGCCTGTTGCAGACATTACCAGAGTGCACTGTGCCTGTTGCAGACATTACCAGAGTGCACTGTGCCTGTTGCAGACATTACCAGAGTGCACTGTGCCTGTTGCAGACATTACCAGAGTGCACTGTGCCTGTTGCAGACATTACCAGAGTGCACTGTGCCTGTTGCAGACATTTCTAGAGATGCTTGGTGCTTGTTGCAGACATCGGTGATCAAGCCATGTTGATCACTGAAGCCGTACGCATCGTCAACGGCCCCAGCTGTCAGATCTCGCTGCTGTCTGCTGCCTCTGATAGCTGAACGTTCAACTTATACTCATAAGTCTGTGTACACCCCGCACAACGCCATGATTCCTGCGCCGGGGTTCTTGATTAAAGGTGCTGGAGCAGAAGTCGGCGGACGTATAACCCCTGCGGTTATTATTATTATTATATTTATTATTATTCTTATTATTATTATTATTATTATTATTATTATTATTATTATTATTATTATCCCTCTGATTTACGTTAATTATTAAGTATTGGTGATCAGGGCAATTAGTGGTGCAGGCTTGATACTCAGTCTGGTAATCGAAAGACATTCATTAGCGCATCCCCGTTACTGTGAACGACGTTTTCTTGACCCGAGCGGACACGGGGGGGGAGAACGATGTTTCGACCCGAGCGGATATGCTACGGTACCTCTAACGTCGCTTGAAGCAACGTAGCGCCGAAGCGCGTCGCGGAGGTGTTCAGCTCCGTCCCCTGGCTCATTATCCGAGTTCCCGTTACCACCAGGGGCCAGGAGCTTGAGCCCTGGGAGGGAAGAAGCAGAGGCGGCACACAGGAACCACGGCAGGTAATTGCTCACTCGGATGATGATGATGGCTGAAGACACACCAGAGAATTTGTTGATGTTGGACCAGCTGGGTGAGGCTGGACCAGCTGGGTGGGGCTGGACCAGCTGGGTGAGCTGACTATTGTTATAATTATTATTATTATTATTATTATTATTATTATTATTATTATTATTATCATTATTATTATTATTATTATTATTATTATTATTATTATTATTATTACTGATAACAGTTCCCATCGCTATATTTTTTTCTCATAGGGACGGGGGAAGGAGGGAAGTATATATTTTTCCCATGGATCATCATCCCATGGAAGGTGGGTAAGAGAAACGTACAGACTCACCGGAAGTCGCAGTGTCTTCATGGGGGAGTATAAACACCCTTAGGGAGCCGAGTTTACAAGTAATAATCTCAGACGTTTACAGATTTACTGTAATATATATATATATAAAGTAAAAGAAAGAGTAACTTTAAAATTGACCATTATTGGCTTTTTTTTTTTAATTATGATGTTATGGTCTTACTATGCGACATCCTATGGGGGAATAACTTATGCGACTTTTCACTAAGAGCGGTCTATCTATTGGCGATCTTTTGGCTATCGATCTATTAGCTTCCGCGATCAGTCTATTGTCTTTTGCGATTGGTCTATTGTCTTCTGTGATCGGTCTATTGGCTTCCGCGTTCAGTCTATTGGCTTTTGCGTTCAGTCTATTAGCTTCCCCGTTCGGTGTATTAGCTTCGGCGTTCGATCTATTGGTTACCATGTGGCCCGGTGGCCTGGTGGCTAAAGCTCCCGCTT